GGCCAACCACGTTGATATACTCTGCATTGCAAGAGGGATAGCTTGTAGTAGTATTACTCCAAAAAACAAGACTGGGTGCGGGTAGTATTTTGTATCAACTAGCGTTCTATGTTCAAAGGGCTTTAGGAATACTACAAACTACTATGAACATCACACTTCCTAAAATAAGGAAATTTTGGCAATGGACATAAATGAATAGCGCCAGAAACTCAAGAGCAGAGTCCTAAATTCTAAAGTTTAGAATTAAATGATTTTTACCCAACAATGGACAACATCAATAGCATTTGGAGACAATATCAAATCTTCTATGATACATGCTGAGACACTGATACAGTACAGGTGTGAAGTTGCCTTTCCTTTCCACATTCACAAAAGACTGGGTCACTGCAAAAGTGCCATTTTCTCAGGATTTGCTTTGTCTCTGCCAACTCTTATCCATAGTCTGTTAAGTTTTCTGTGTTCCTGAGATTCTATTCATTTTAAGAGGCAGATGGTTCTTTCTTTCCACAATAATCCTGGTTTCTCTTGATGTTCTCCGTCAAGATTCACAGAGGTTCTGAAAAAATTACCCTTGATTTTAATCTGAGAAGGGTGGGATGGTAGCCAAAGAGTGAATGAGCATTTGATGTAGATGCGTTGAGTCTTTTACTATTAACTGCTACCTCTATGTGTATGTCACTTGGGGTAATACCTGCTAGGAAACTGATTTTATCATCAGAAGTGAGATTCAGGCATCCAGGAGTGATTCTACAGCTTCCACTGAGTGCTACATCTACCTGTTTTGCACTGACTGAATTATATCACATCAGGCTTGTGTATTTGCCTGCAGAACAGCATAGGGCAATGCTGTAGTTCTTCGTGTACGTGGCTGCCCCAACCAGTTCATGATAGCTTCTGAAGAATACTGTTCCTTCTAGAGACATTTTGCTTTTAATTTGGCTGTGTTTCTTATAGATCAGCAAATGAATCAAAGCAACAAGGTATTTGGGAGCAAAAACAGTAATCTAGTTGGCACCCTTCCTTAAGCCGGCTAGATCTGGGTCCAGGATTGAACGTAGGTCATAAGCAGAGTCTTCTCTGCAGTACTGCAGTTTAACCACTGTGCCACAAGGCTCTTTAGTATCCACCAAGTTCTTCTAATGCAGTGGTGTCGAACTGTGGCCCTCCAGATGTTCTTGGCCTTCAACTCCCAGAAATCCTGGCCAGCAGAGGTGGTGGTGAAGGCTTCTGGGAGTTGAAGACCAAGAACATCTGGAGGGCCACAGTTCGACACCACTGTTCTAATGGATTTGTTAGATATTCTACCAACTCAAAGCTGTCTTACTGAGCAGCAAGTACAAGATCATCAAAAGCAAAGTGTGCTGCTTATACACTGCCCCATAGCACTTAAAGCATTCTCTGGGTGGTTTACAAATTAATTATGCAGGCTACACTTTGCTCCCTCTCTTGAGCTGGGTACTCATTTTACTGACCTCGGAAGGATAGAAGACTGACTCAGCCTTGATATAACCCTGAATTGTGAGCACACTTTTGGCATGCAGTACAGCAGTTTAACCACTACACCACGAATCTCAGTGTAAATAAAATGTAAAAAAAAGAAGTGCAAATTAAAAGTCTGGTACCTCGAGGAAGTGGTTGGTTGTTGATGTAGATGTAATAGGGAGTTACACCCACAGAGTTTGTATTGTTTGCTTGAGTGCAGAACTAATTGTGCAGTTCACTGTGCTTGTTAGATATGATTACTGGCTTGGCATGATTTTTTTCTACCATGTGTGAGTTATGTAGATGTAGCTATACAACAAATCTGTAAACCATTTCTGAGTATACTAAGAAAAACCTGTGATGGGTCACCTAAGTCAGTGGTTCTTAACCTTTTTGAAAGAAACGCCCCCTTGGGCCATTGATGAAGTTATCATTGCCCCCCTCCCCACGGCGATATTTATGTATTTATTTATTCAAGAAAGACACTTAAATCCAATGACTCCTGAAAATAAAATTCAACAGCCAGCCAGCCACAACAGGACAACAAGAAAAGCCGGAAAAGCTGCTGAATTCCCACCCACCCAGGATGGACCCGAGCCAGCCCTGTCCCTAGAAA